CCCCCCCCTCTTCCCCCTTTTCATTTCTTTTCCTCTTTTCCCCACACTGGTCTGCTGGCACAGCTGTGAGTAGGAGGAGGGGAGGAGGGATGGTTGCTGGCAACCTCAAATGACAGATTTGGTGGAAGGTGCTATAATACCGTGACTTTTTCATCTTGTAAATGGAACCTTGATGGTTTCTAGGAAAGGCATTAGCCCACAGAATACTTTCTTCTTCTTAAAGTTACAGTTAGGAAGACAAATATAATTTTAGATTTATAATCAGTTTACTTTCAGTGCACACCTTTAAGAAATTACCATCCTCGAATCAAAATGTAAATCAAGTATTAACATGGCTACTTTCTGTTTCTCAGGGGGTTTGTTTTTAGCTAAAAGCTAGCAGTGAGATTTCGGTGGAGGGAACGGCATTAATATGTTGATACATTTTTAGGAGTAGTTCTGTACTCCAACTTCATTGTTCATGTTGTTCACATACTCCTTCTGTATGGATTACCAGCAAAGTCAGTGGTAGGAGGACTCCATTCCCTGCTAGTCCTGAGCCAGCTGCTCACTTGCAGCAAGATGAGTTCAGTGAGTTTGAGGTTTTGTTTTGTTTGAGGTTTGTACTTGGTTAAATTTAAAAGAAGGAAGTTTTTTGATAGACTTTGTGCACACTTCCAACAAAACAGCAGGTATGCGTTGTCATTATGAGAACTGTTTCATAGCTGGTCTCTCTTTCCTTTGAAGTGTCATGCATTCAAGTATATGGTGTATGGCTCTGAGTTCATTCCCTGTTTGCCTTGAAGAGAAGAACCTATTTTGAATTTCACTTTGAATACCTGTGCAGACCTCACTGTGGAAATGGGCCTTTAAGCATTTGAGATGTGATAGCAAAAGCTCACCACAAATCCCAGTGAGCTGTCTGGAGATGAAGCTGCTGTGCTCACATACCAGAATAATCTTTGACACTGGTATTGCACGCTTGGGTCTTTTGTTTGCTTTGACTTTCCATCTTTAAGCTTTCAAAATGCTGAAAATACCCATGTGTCCCCTGCAGGGATTTCTCCCGGAAGGTATGTTTGACCGGATTCTCACCGGACCGGTTGTGCGGGAAGAAGTGAGCCGGAGAGGAAGGCGCCCCAAAAGTGAGATTGCCAAGGCAACAGCAGCTGCAGCAGCTGCCACTGCTGCCAGCGTCTCAGTGAACCCTCTGCTAGCTAACGGATTGCTTCCAGGCGTGGATCTGCCCAGTCTTCAGGCCTTACAACAGAACCTGCAAAACCTGCAGTCACTGCAAGTAACAGCGGGATTAATGGGAATGCCAGCTGGCCTAACTACTGGAGGAGAAGCGAAGAGCATGGCTGCCATGTTCCCCATGCTGCTGTCAGGGATGGCTGGATTACCAAACTTGCTGGGCATGGGAGGACTTCTGACAAAGTCTACAGAGTCTGTTTCGGAGGAAAAAAAGGGAAGCGATTCAAAGGAGGCGGATATAAAGAAAGAAAGGACAGAAGACCAAAATATGGATACTGGTGGTGAAAACTCTGTTTCAAGTTCTCCTTCAACATCCTCTGCTGCTGCAGCTGCCAATCCTCTCTCTCTTAACCCATTACTTTTGTCCAACATACTTTACCCAGGGATGCTTCTCACTCCAGGCCTTAATCTTCATATCCCAGCTTTGTCTCAGTCTAATATTTTTGATGTACAAAACAGTGAAAGCAATGACACGGGCTCAGCCAAGCCCACAGAAGAAAAGGAGGAAAATTCTAGGGTTAGAGATCAGAAAGACAAAGGGGGAACAGAGCCAAGCTCTCACAATGAAAACAGCACAGATGAGGGTTCAGAGAAAGCAGATGCTTCATCTGGATCTGATAGTACATCGTCTTCATCTGAGGATTCAGATTCTAGTGATGAAGACTGACCCCAGACTCTGCACTTAAATTATAAACTGATTTTGAATTTATTCTTTAATTATTTCATTGTAAATAACCCAGTGTTGAGTGCATCAATGATTTACCGACCGAACATTTCAGTATTTGTTTAGAAGTGCAAACTGCTTTCAGAGACGTTTTGCATGTAATATTTCTTGAAGTTCATAAGTTTCTGAACTTGTATGTACTATCAAATACACAATGGTGTAAAATTACAACAAAAGGCATTATAATTTTGTTGGGGGGTTAATTTTATGAAAATAATGCTCGAGTAAGAGCTGTATATTTAATATATTTGCAGTGAACACAGAATACTTTATGCATATTATTGATTTAATTTGAATATAGTTTTACAGCCTCCTTGACACTTATAATTTACAGATCAAAACTCAGCAATAATTTGGGCAGCTAATGAATGTCATGAAAGCTGTAGAATCTACATCACCATCCATTGCTTTAATTACATGAAAATGCTCTAGTGTTGTGATGCACTGCTGTTTCCAATTCAGGTACAAGTGTGTTTAAAAGAAGATAAATTTTTCCCAATCAGCCAATTGAACTGGCTACCTGTTACCTCAGCTGAGTTAGTTTAGGAAGTTTACATTGGTTTCTATTACTTGTTTTCAGGTTTTGTTTTGTTTTCTAAAGACATCCTGTATACCATGTTAAAATCTGAGTTGAGATACGACTGTTGAAGGGTTTTTTTTCCCTTACTACAACTGTCCTCTGGCAGCAGTAAGGGGAAATTGAAGCAGGAACAGTCTTATCTCATGCTACTTGGCACCATGTAGATCTGTTTAGTTTACACCTTGCAAAGTTTTGGGCTCCCTCTGCAGAATTAAAAGTCCCAAAATGAGGAGTAGTTTCCCCAAGACTCAGAAGAGGCAAACTGTCATAAAGTGCCACTGAAAAGACCTTTCAACACTGCATACTTCATGTAAAAATTGTTTGTTTGCTTTGTTTGTGTAGATTTCTATTTGTGGTTTATGTCATAAAACCTCCTGGAGTTACCAGTTAATAATGGTAAATAAAGTATAGATAGATTTGAACTCTTCTTGAGTTTAAGCTTCTCTGCAGATTTAAATCTGACTAAATATTAAATATTACCCAGAACCATTATTGAGATGTCACTTCATATGTTATGCTGAGTTACCCACTAAAGAAAAAGCACTTTGAATAGTAAAGAAAACAAGTTATTCCTAGAAACCACAGTAACAGGGCATAAGGCATCTGTTTAAGTCCAAATCCTTAGAACCCTTCACTATATAAAATCTGTCTGGTATTTGACGTGTGATATGATTCCTCCTTCTTCTTAAGCTGCTATTACTCTGACATAGTCGAGGCCCAGATTCACATTTACAGAAGTTCTGAACTGACTGAGACTTCAATTGACATTGGTTACATCGGTCCAAGAATAGGCAAGTGTTAAGAGAAAATAGATACAGGTACTAGCAGAAGTCATTGAAAAAGCTTTACAAAGGGATAAATTTAAAAATAAAAAACAAAAACTGTATATTTTGATATAGTTCTGTTGCTTGCTTGTACAGTAAAACAACTGTGTTGTTTTTTATCAAGAACTTTACCAATGAGATGTAAGTTTCTATGTGCAAGATGACTAGCCCCATGATTAGAAGCAGTATTACATGTAAGTACACAACTATACAGGTACCATTTGGATTGTGCTGGTTATGTATTTTCCCAAATAGTATTCTGATTTTTGGCCCTTCATGCAGTGTCTTAGCAATAGTGAAAATTGAAAACTGCCAAGAGAAGGGGGTAGCAATTCTTCATCATGGAAAAAAAAAAGTATTTCATATTTAATATTTTGCCCTTTGTAATATAGCACTTTTGTTTAACTAGGATGCATCTATGAAATAGCCAAAGTTTTACGAACAATTGTTAACTTAGTTTGCTGATGGAGTATGTCAACAATACCATCACTTCCCACCCTTATCCCACAAAACAAATCCTAAATCTTGTGGCTAAAACCTAATTTATATCAGATTTATGAAATAAAGTATTTTCCTAATTATGGTCAAGTGAGTTTGGTTACCATTCTAGTGATTCTTTCTATGTAATAAGGCAATTACAGTTTCAAGTAATGAAGGCTGGTGTAGACTTGAACATAATATATTTGGTTTATTTTTAATAAGTTTGAACCAGAAGGGGAAAAAATGTCCCACTATCAGCTAAACGATATGCAAATACAGTTGTATAAAGTTAAGGGTTGTAAGGAAACCTCAGTAGAATTACACTAATACTGAAGTTAAAAGTAAAAGGATATCCAAGGTGATGATAAAGTGTGTGTTGGTAGTTACTAAAAGAACCTTAGCTGTTATTGCCTTGTATTTCTATCCCTTGTTTCAGGCTTCATGATCCAAGTCTTAGTCCAGGTTTTTTTTTGGACTTTTGCAATATTTGCCAGTTGTGTTCTGTGTAGTCCGAATTTGCTTTCTGTAGTTGAACAAGCGTCTTAAAAAGTCATTTGTAATTTATTGAATTACTTTCTATGATGTTCTATAGAGCAAATGGAAGTTTAATTATTTTTTATTAAACATATTCTTTGACTACCCATGATGTCGGCCTCAGTATGTGACCATAATGCTGCCTGTGGAAGGATTAAGCATGTCTCTTTCAGCAGTGAAAGTTTCACTGCGAAGCTCTAAAATGGAAATTATTCTTAAAAACTTTAAAAAACCTCAAGCCAAGGATGTACCAGCCACCACCTGCCCGTGCTGTGCTGCTGTGTGATTGTTCTGGGAATCCATCTCCTGTCATCCAGTTGTCTTACAAACAAAATAAGCTGTTGTTCAAGCCCTTCAGTCATCATGGTTAGAAAGGAGTCCGCTGTCTGGGTTCTGGTCCCAGAGTTGACCTGATCAGAGATAATGGTGCGTCTAATGCTCCAGGGTAAGCACATTGGCAGCAGAGCACCTTTTGGATCTCTTTAAAACTTTGCATTGCTTTCTGTGTGTTTACTGCATCTTCCGGTGATGTACACAGCACTTACTACTGCTGTTTTTCATGCGTTTCAAACGGGGCATGGACGTTTCTCCTGAACACGAGGTGTCTTCTGGTTGGGAGGTCCCTTCTTGTTTTAACCTGTAATTGCACTTGAATGCTTACTTATTCCAGTCTGAATTCTATTTTCAGATCATGCTCATCCTTTCTGAGCTGCTGCTTTCTCACATCTGTTCACAGGTGATAAAAATGCACGTACACTCATGAGCTCTGTTCTTGGGTTTTCTTCTGTTTCTCTTTCCCCTAGAAGTCCTGCAGAATCCCTGACTATTTTTTTCAACTTAACAGGTCTATTAGAAAAATGTCACACACAGAGAGAAAGTGTCTTGTAATCTTACAATTCAATCCTCTTAGTCTGTAAATAAAAATATAACAGATCTATCTTTCAATTAAACTGTTTCCAAGAGACACATGATCTAGGTACAACATCGGTGTTTAATTTCTTGCACTTCTCTGAAATGTTTGGAAACAGTGTCTGGATATGATGAACAGATGAGACTATTAACAGATGTCCTGGCATGTCCTGTCCTTTTTGTTCTATTTTGCCTCTGAGTAAATTATTTTGCCATGTTATTTAGCAATATATTTTTTATTTATTGCTCTGTACAGTGGTACTGATAGACCAGCAAAATGAATGCTTACTTTTTAATGCCTGCATTTAAGCTGCAGTGAAATGAGGTGCCCAGTGTACGTGTTTTCATGTAAAGGGATCTGCAGTGTGGCATTGCATTGAATTATTTGTGATGTGAAAGTTACTAACATCTAGCAGCAGAAACAGTTTCTGATCTAGTTCTTCTGCACCTGTATTTCCCTATAACATCAGCACGCTGTATCAGTTTAATGTGGGATTTACACTGCTGTAGTTGACCAACACTTCAAATTTTCCATCTGTGGAGTGCAGGGGTATCGAGGTTATGCCGGTGTCTGCAGAGGAGGCTCCTTCTACTGGTGTAGCTGTGGGAGTTTACAAAATAACCGTCCTGGCTTATCTAAATGGCCCCAATGTTACACAGGCATCTGTAACATTGTGTATCATAACTGCAGTATCTTTTCTTTGCCGTATTTAGAGGAAAAGAAAATAAACAGAATCGTTTTCCATAACTAAATGGTAAGAAAATCTTGATCACATTACTTTTAACTGATTCTCTTTGCTGTTAAAAGACAGAGCAAGGACTTTTGATGGGTGTTTCTGATGACAAATGTAAGTATCAGTTAACAGTTCCCTGAGGAAAACTATTCTTTTAGAAAACCTTTTTAGCTTTTAGTAATTAAATATATGTGAAATAGGTCTTGGAAAATATTGACAACATACACAGGGAAGAATGTTGAGAAGCATGTAAAACCCTGATGATTTCAGTAAATCACATCATTCATCCCTGCCAGAAGTTCCAGTCTGCTGGAAATTATAAACAACATTTTGGTCATTATAGTTCAATTTTTAACCCAGTATTTTAGGAACACTGTTCACTGAGAAATACATACAAAGAATTAAGGAAGAATGTCCACAAAATGGAGTGGTCTGAAGTCTTGAAATGGAGAAGTACATACAGGCAAGTATCTCTGTTCAGAAAAGTTATGACCCCAAAATAAACTGACTAATACAATTTCAATTCTAACTTCAATTCAGAATTTTTTATACGCCAACTACCTAACATTCAGAATTCTGTTTAAAAAAAAAAAAAGACAAACCAAAAAAGAAGAAACTATTCAACATTAATTGAACTCTAGGTAATCTCTCAACAGGAGCAGGGACATTTTCCAATAAGGCAAACTAAGGCTGTGATTTGGTTGGTTTTTTAACACTGCTTCCATTCAGGCCCTCCTACACAAGAAAGGAAGAAGGTGCCATTCATGAGATCCCACTGCAAAGTTACTTTGCAAAATGAGGACTCTTGCCTCCCCTTTCACCTGCTTCAACCATGAACAAGACCTAAAAGTGCGGCATTCTCGTCAGTGTGCAGGTAAGGTCCCTGGTCCCTAACCCTTTTGCTGTCTCTGCTGTGTAAGGGAGGCTGCACTGGGAAATTCTTGGGATCCTAACGTCAGATACCATCAGATACCATCACCAGTGTTCACCAAGACTGGTAACGTCCTCAAGCTGTTTCTTGTTCGCAGAAAACAGCTTTTGATTTGGGAACTACTGCGTCAGTCAGCTCCTCTGCTTCGTGCTGTTTGAGCTCTGCTCAGCTTCCCAAAGCAGGTGGTAGGACCTCAGCTTTTTCCTCCTGCAAGGCAGAGTTCCTAACTCCTAGCACCTTAAGTGTACACTGCTTCATGTTTTCAATGCAGCAGCAATTCTAACCTAAATAAACAGGTTTTTTTTTTCTTGTTATTGTTATAAATGTTTCTGAGTCACGAGACAGAGAAACATTCTCCTTTTTAAAAGACAGCTGAAATCTTCATGTCATCATTAGTCTTCATCAACTGGGGCTTAAGGTGAAATACCAAATGTTGGAAGATTGCTGATGAAGTTACGTACATTGGCAAAATGGCACCAGAAGTATCAGGAGACTGGCTGCAGTGGGAAGCTCGCGGGGAGAATACTGGAATGAAAGGTTTTCATGGGGTTTTTCTCCTAACACAAACACTTACAAGAGTTTATCATCTTGGACTTTCCTTGTTAGATACATACCAGGCAGTCTGATCTTCTAGCTTTAGCCAGGAGGCCACCTTTTTTCCACGCAGGTGGGCGTCGTGAACCACCACTTCAGAATTTCTTGTCATGGCTCTAACTTATTCTTACAATACTGGTAGAATGAGGAATCTAGTAGTGGAAATGAGTCAGGTTATTAACATGCCAGATGAGGTTATCACTTTATTTCAGTGTTCTTGTCTTGAATAAAATTCTTTCTTCTTTGTAAAGGGGGAGAAAAGTGGAGAGAGGTGAAGCGGAGGAACAAGTGAAGTTAAGTCCTCAGGGCTTAAATTGATTTCAGCATGTCTACTTTGTAAAAAATATGTAAGTTTTCAGTAGATCATTAAGTGAAAAATCACCCTTTTTTAAAGTCTTCTACACAAGAGCAGTCAAATTAAACCATTTATTTGCAAAGCCTGGATGCATGAAAACATAGGGAAGTGTGCAGGTGTAATCACAGGATAACCACCTCATGTTTAAATGAGGCTTTGTTTATATTTTAATACTGTGGGGGTTTGTTGCTTCTCTTTATTTTAATCTGAAAGATTTTGAAAGGGTAGATTAATGTTTCTCAGTAGAAAGTAAAACACTGTAGTAAGTTATTGCATTCTGTTTTAATGACTGTTGTAAATCTAGCTTAACAGAGAAGCCCCACAGCATTACATACAGACTTCTGGGTGGCAGAGAGCATCCCACCAATGCCTGGTATTCCTCAAAGCAGCTGGTGCCTCACTGCAGAGTTCACAGCTCCTCTACATT